TTGTATGTAGCCCTCAATGGTTGTCCTCTGGGCTATCAATTGTTACAATCAAATGGGCCATTAGGAAAGCTGACTGTTGGGAATTTTGCAACATTGTCAGAGATTACAGTTGGTGGTTTTTATACTGTATCTTTTTATTGCCAGGAAATCTGGCACCAGGTGACCCCCTCATGCCCTTTTGTGTGTGTGTTTCTGTGTGTCTGTGTGACTCCCTAGGCTCATGGTCAAGGATAACTGCATAAGAGTATGAATGCTGGCCATACACAGAGTGTGGATGTTTATTGTAGGAGATGTTTATTGAGATGCTTATTATCATGGCATAGTACAGTAGTGCTCTACATACATGCTGGCTATACACAGAGTGTGGATAATAGGAGATGTTTATTGAGGTGCTTGCTATTATGGCATAGTACAGTAGTGCCCTACATAAATGCTAGCCATACACAGAGTGTGGATAATAGGAGATGTTTGTTGAGGTGCTTATTATCTACATAGTACAGTAGCCATAGGCTCACAGATGCAGGAGAAGGGAATCTTCAGATCCTCCTGGTATCAAAGAACTCTGCCAGGGCTTCCCTCACAGCCTCCCCTTCTCTCTCCTTCACAAGGTCATTGTCCTCCATGGGTGCCCCCAGTGTAGGCAGCACAAAGTGGCGCCTGTAACACCCTCCCTCTTCCAGGACCCTTCCCTTGATCTCGCAGATGTTGAGGAGGATGACACATGATGGGATGATGGGGATGACATTTTCCTCTGCTACAAGGAGTGGCCCAGTGTGGCACCTCCACTGAGCTTTAAGCCATCCAAAGGCCCTTTCCACCACATTCCTGGTGCAATTCAGCTTCCTGTTGAATCCTTTCTGCCTGGCATTGGTGGTGCCCTTCATGAGCCACTTCCGAATGGGGTAGGCGCTGTCAGTGAGCAGGAGGGGGCTGATCTGCTGGCCCCTCAGGGTGACGGTGGGGTTCCCTGGCACATAGATACCAGTCTCCATGGCCTGAAAGATAATAGAGTTCATTGCCACCCTTGCGTTGTCACACCAGACCAGACCAGTTCCAAATCAAGAAAGCAACCTCAATGATCCATGGTCCCTTGGAGGACAACAGAGTAGCTGTCTTTTGGATGATGAACTTGTTCCTCCACTCCAAGGATGTCATGATCAGACAGTGGCACTTGTCTACGTGGAGGAAGCTGAGGTCAGTGAATCCTTGCATGATCTGTGGGTGACAAGAAGGGGGGGAAGCGGACAGTGAATGACAAAAATCAGGGCACTTACCAACTCATGACGTTTTTCGCGTACGTGCGCAGGTTCAACGACTCTAGCAGACTAAGGTATACAGTGACAACCATGTTATATGCCAGGTCACGATGTTTTTTGCGTACGTGTGCAGGTTCAATGACCCTAGCAGCCTAATGTATACAGTGACAACCATGCTGTATGCCGGCTGATGGGTTTTGGCATCCGTGGGCAGGTTCAACGACCTTAGCAGCCTATTCTATACAGTGACAGCTATACTGTGTGCTGGGTCATGAGGGTTTTTGTCCAGGAGGGGAAAGGGACAGGTATGTGTGACTGTCCTTACTTGAGCGGTGTCCCCCAGGTACACTGTCTGTGACAGCAGCAGCTTCTCCATGCTGAGGGCGAACTCCACCAACACTTCCCCTACAGTGGTAAGGCTGACCCCAAACTGCTCTGATGCTTGCTTGTAGCTGGCTTTGTGGATGAGGACCCAGATGGCCATGGCGACTCTCTTCTCCACCAGGATGGCCTTCCACATCATGGTGTCATTCATTTCCGGACACAGGATTTCTACTATCCTGTGGAAGAGGGCACGGGGCATTTGGAAGAATATCCTCCATTGCTCATCGGATCAGATGTATGTGACAAACCCATCCCACCAGTCAATGCTTCTAGGGAACATCTACCAGAGGTACGGGGCTCTCAGGTGGCATCAGAGTGGCAGCGGTGGCAGTACACCATGTAATGCTTGTTGCAACACCCACTCTACCAGTTGTCACTTCTGTGTCCTCAGAGTCATCAATGGAGTCTTGTACGCATGCAGCTGTTACAGGAACCATGGCGGAGGCTCCTGTGGCCATGCACTGAAGGCTAACTACCAGTGTGGATTACTCGGTTGCCATGGCATCCATGCTTTCTCTACTTTGCACAGTGCGCAAGTCCATAGCAATGCCAACATTGCTGTTAAAGGGGCCGTGTTGTCCCTACACACGTACGCATGCACCAGAGAGACCGCGAAAAAAATTAAAGCTGCCGCTGTGGGCCCATGCGGTTACTCCATTCCCATTTAGGGAAACCTCAGGGCCAGTAGTACGGGTGATGAGGCTTCACTGCAGTCTTGGAAAAGCTGCATTAACTGTCCCCCATGGTGGTTGCTCCACCCCCACTTAGGGCATGGTCAGGGCAGGTGATGCGGTTGCTGCAGTATGGGGAAAAGGCAACTTCAGGTCACCTTTTCCTGCCCATCTGCATAGCCCCAAAGTTACATCCCTAATGCAGACATACAATGAGTAAAATGAGAAATTGTTGGTCAGAGGACTAAAAAAGTCAGTTGAGTAAGGAATAGGTATAGAATTTGTTGGTTAGAACACAGAGAGATGAAGCAATCAGAAATGTTAGATTCTATTATTAGTGCCATTATTTCTTATCCACAAAACAGTGATAACTTTATTGGGCCAATCAAATGCACAAAATACATCATGCAAGCTTTTAAGCCCCACCAGCTTCATAAGGGAAAGGTGATAAAAATCATAGGAGGAAAAGAAAGAAAAATGATGATGTTAAGAGTTACAGGCCTACATTTTCTCAAGGTATTGCTGTTGTTCTCAGTAATTTATACAGTGTCTTAGTTTGGGGGGTTATCTCATGTTCTACAAATCAACATATGTTTAAAGTTCTAATCATCTGTGTTCTGTTCTGGATGGATTTTAAAGCTAGCATATCTCACTCCCTGTGTTGGGTTTGAGGAAAGTCCTTCTTTTCTTTGCAAATCAACAGATGGTGATTTGGAGAGTTTGCACTCAATGGACCAGATGAACTATCAATCTCAATGACCACTAGAAGCCTTGCAAGAGATCTCTAGTGAAGGGCAGGAGCCAATTTTCCCTTGAAAATGACAGCTCTATATTTTCACCAGAAAAAAAAATGCCAAAAATATGACCTATGAGTATGATTGGAACTCATTTCTAAGTCCTACTTTGGATATTTTCCAGCTGTTTTTCTATAAAATTAAGAAGATTTTACAACTGATGTATTTTAAGGCCATACAACACTCCTGGAGGCATTTTGAGGTATTTTTCAGGTGGTGTTTGCAACATTTGGGAAGATTTGGGGAATTGAAAGGGCTCAGGGAGTATTTTGGAGTGCCATCTGTGACCTTCAGGCTCCACTTTTCCAACCTGTCTTTCAGATTTATCACAGGAATAATTTAAAACATTTCAGGAGTCAGTTCAGTCTCCAGTGTGCAATTTTGTTCATACATGCTACATTGTCCTCTTGTTGGAACAATCTAGATCCTTTTTATTTTCTTTCTATGGGGGGGGGGGTTATGTACAAAAATATTATTGCATTGCAGTTTGTGATTGCTGGTATTGACATTGTATTAAAAAACACCTCTTCCTCTCTCTCTCTCTCTTTATCTATGTGTATGTGTGTAGGATCAATTCTGGAGTCAAATGATTAATACATCTAAGCACAGAGCCATCCAACCATAACATAGAATACCTAAGTGGCTTCATTACTTTTCTCATCCAGGTAGTTAATATAATACTGATTAGGGAGGTTGAGGATGAATGTGGTTACAACTAATAAATGCAAAGTATGTTCTTATGACACAATGAGCATCTTCAAACCCTTGTGGTGAAATTTCCTTCATTGAGGGTTATTTTATGCAATGTAACTTCTGAATTATTATTGGTATGTTCTCTGTTTAGTATACTCATAAGTGTATTTTTCTACAGGTCTACTCAGAAGTATGTATTTAAAGCTCCATGAGATTTACTATCATGTAAACAGCCACAGAATTCCAGCCTTTTAGGTCTGTTCTCACATGGTGAGAAACATATCAGGATTTTTGTTATGTGAGCAAATAAAAATGGCTGTTCCAAAACACAGTGGGGTATATCAGTGTCAGGTGTTTAACATCAAACATTAAATTGCATTGCACATATGAGAAATCTGCTGAGTGAGGTTTTGATCTGGCTACAGCATTAGCAGCGATGTATTCAAGTCTTTTATTCCAAGTCTCAAGTTCAGTCTCAAGTTTCTACCTTCAAGTCTCAAGTCAAATCTCAAGTTCTTGCAAGATACTTTCAAGTCAAGTCTCAAGTCTAGGGGCCAATTTTAACAGAGGTAGCGATGGTATGTGTACTCTAGAACATTTCTCCTCCTCCAAGGCCAGCAAATTAGTAGCTAAAAATATGCAAGTCATTAGTTGAATGATTGCTTCAGTCGTGGCAGAGTTGAGTCCAAGTAAAAAATAATTGAAACAACTTGAGTCTGACTCAAGTCTGAGTCAAACAACTCAAGTCCACATCACTGAGCATTAGGATGGGCAATCCCTCTCTCTCAGTTTATTAGTCATAGTAAACATTTGTCATAGTAAACACTTCAGCTGGAAATACAGCATGTAACCCTCTTCTGTGCAACCAATTAATCCTGAATTAATTGTTTAAAGTCTTTATTTGTTAGAAAGAGGACAGCAGAGAGAAGCACAACCTAACCTTCCATGGACACAGTGCCACAATGTGGGAGCAGTCACCAGTAAAGCCTGTTGACCCTTCAAGATTATGTACAAATGGAGGGCAGTTATTTCTCCTGCTCCATAGATTGTATAACAATCTTTGTTCTTGCTGTTGTGTGTTGACCCAAAGGCAACCCTATCATGGGATTTTCTTGGCAAGGTTTGTTCAGAGAAGGTTTGCCATTGCCTTCCCCTAAGGCTGAGAGCATGTGATTTGCCTAATATCACCCAGTGGGTTTCCATGCAGAACTGGGATTTGAACCCTGGATTCCAGAGTCCTAATCCAATGCTCAACCTACTATACTATGCTGGCTCTCCATAGCAATATAGGAAATATCATCATCATCATCATCATCATCATTTTAAAAATGTATACCGAGAATCTATTGCCTGTTAGTCTGCCAGGGCCCACAAGGTGATATATAACAGATAAAAACAATACAAAACATTAAACATACAAACAAAACAGGGTAAAACAATCCCTTAGAAGGAGATTAAACCCACAGAGCTGACTATATGAAATAATGCAGTCTTAGCTGCATACTAGAAACTCAAAAGGGACAAAGCCTTGGGAAGGAGTTCTGGGGGTAAGATATTAACCATCACAGAATAAGCATCACCTATAGCTCCAGACTAGAGTATATTCCATTTCAAGCTATTGTTGGGGTTCTCTGCTGTCTGACACTGCTATTCAATGTAGACAACCACTATAGAGGGATGCAGATGGGTGGCCCTGGGCCACCCTGGAAAATGGAGGATCAAGGCTGAGGCTGCCAGATGCGTTGGCCCCAATCCTCCCTTTTGCTGCCTGGGAAAGGAGTGTCAAACACTGCTCTTTTTCCAGGTGGTGAAAAGGGCGCCCTGACACAATATCCCATTTAGTTCCTTATCAAAAGCAAATGTTACTGTCTTTTGTTACAAAACCCCCCTCTCTTTATACCATATTTTCTCACCCATCCTGAAGGATTAACCACATATAATTGCACATCTTGCTGAGAAAGAGAGAGAGAGAAAGACTTTCTTCTTAAGTGTTTGTCAAACTGTAAATCACTTTTATTTATAGGTGAGACAAAAATTATTTAAACTACATTGACTACTTTTGCCCTGGCTCTTTATCATCAAGAATGATATCCAGTTAAATTAGCATTCTTAATTATGTCCTTGAAATGGAAGAAAACAACAAATCATTTCAAAGGAAGGCGGGGAATGCATAACAACATAAGGAGATGAGGTCATGTGGAATAAGATCCAGCCTCATCAAAACAAGCCTCAATCTAAAGATGAGTTCTTTCTGTTCTTGAACTAGAAGCACCCTGTTGAGTTGCAGGAAGTATTTATTGTGTCACCTTGACAGAGATTGTAACACAAAGATATTCACCAAGACATTATATTGGCTATTTAGTTCAGTATAACTAAGTAGCCAATTTAGCATCTTGGTGAATGTCTTTGTGTTGCAGTTACGTGTTGCAGTACTTACATGTTGTGTTACAGTACTTAGTTTAACTAAAGTAGCATTGTTTGGCCTGACCCAATCCTACCTGTGAACAACAGTGATCTGTTCTCCTGTTGATCTGGCGTGCAAAATAGGAGACTGGTATTTCCACCTACTCCCTGCTAAGTAATCCAAGAGACAAACATCAGAAACAAGGTCCCTGTCACAATTCTTCCTTGCATCAGATACTGCTGGTGGGAAGGGGATGAAAATGCCAGTCTTTTGTATCCTGATCAAAAAGGGAACAAATCTTCACTGCTTGCAGTGTCTGGTGGCCATTAAGGTATAATTGGGGGACTTTTACAATTATGGCAATAGTGTATGATTGGTGGACTTTTACGATCATGGCAACAGAATGCCATGTATCCACAACCATGGCACAACTGCCATGATCATAAATACATAGTTTTTCGTGAATACATATCTGTTATGGGTGCATAACTCTAAGTTTGGTGCTTTCTGCTCATGCTTCTGTAACATTATTAAGGAGTTATTCAGGGGCAAAGCAGGCCGGCAATTTGAGCCATCTTCCTGGGGGCATGGTGGCTGCACGCAGCATGCCATGACTCTGTGCCCAATCCGGTGTCAGACCACCCACCCGACCAGATGGCAGGCAGTGTTGGGGCACTCTTGTGATGCAGCGATCAAATGCCACATGTTGCAGGAGCACAGGAGAGCCATGGTGGCAGCAAAAAGTGTGCCCTTTTTCTGGAACAAAAAGGAGTGGCATTTTGCCACTTCTTTTTGTGTCCAAAAAAACATTGGATTGGGGCCACAGTGTGCAACTGCCGTGACCTTGATCCAGTGCTCAAAGGGGTAGCATTAAGTCAGTCCTTTACATCCATCTGTTTAGCCCCTCAGACAGTGAAGATAACCCAGATTGAACACCTGTTGTTCACACACATCCCGAATGCACATGATTAAGTTTGGGGAGGGCTGCCAAAAACCCCATTTAATCTGGGATAATGGATATTGTCTTTTCCCCTAACTTTTTAAAAAAGATCCACAACATTGGTAGTGTGAATAACTGATGTAAATATACCTGAATAGACCCGGGATAAAATTCTGCATGCCTTGAATGTGTTCCATCTTTATTTGAATGCTTGCGTATGTGAGCAATGGAACTTGCAGAAATGCACATCGATGCATTTCCATAGTGTGAATAACAAACCTAGAATGCACAAGTGAGATGATTCACATCATCACCCTAAAATAAATTATGTCTATATGACCTCCTAAAACTAGAATTGCACTAAAGCCTGTTGTGAAGTCCAAGGAATGAAATTTATGATAACAGCAACCACTAACAAATGGAGGAGGTACATTACTAGACCATTAGTTTTGTGCTAGGTTCAACATGAGAAAGGTTTAGACTAGGCCAGTTTCACAGCCTCAAGAGGCTTCACTGTGGAGAAACATACTCCTTTCGGAATTTGATTAGTCAGTTTACAGAGTTGACCTGTTCTTCACATGCAGTAGAAAGAAGTGTAGAATCCTGAGCTAATTGAATAAATGTTACCATTTCTGACTGGTGCTGGTGGCAACTGAATGAATTTTATAGCAAGTGAATGAAACCCTCTGATTGATCAGTTAACACAAGTTGAGAAATGCTATTCCAAGCCCACATCTTACTGCGATAGTTTTCTGACTGGAAAATATTTTTAGAGCTACAAATGGAAAATGATCATACCATCATTGTTAACAACGTTGACATTTTCTGCATTACTTAAATTTTATTAGTATTATTTTTATTTTTGCTTCCCTAAGAAGAATGTTAGAAACATGCCATATATTATCACTTGAAGATGTTTCAGTTGAAAAGGCTCATTAAAGAAGGACACATAATTCTCCTTTTAATAACTTTACAGAAGCTTGAGCAGATGGTAGTTTAGCAAGATTAAAATATTGCCACTGAAAACACAAAATTTGCTGTACAAAGAAATCCATATATTTGGATATATTGTCAGGTTGCTGTTGGAGGATTCTTCCAGCAAGCCTATGTTTGAGTCCCCTGAGCCAGATTATTGTGAGGAGGGAAGTGCCCCATTACACCTATATCTCAGAGATATAGGGTGCTCCTTCCCCCATTGCAAAGCTCTGCTTTGAAGTCAGAAAAGGAGGGTGTACCACAATTCATTACTGAAGAATGATACCTAATGAAGTCTCAGACTGCATCCACATTGCAGAAATAATCCAGTCTGACACTGCTTTAACTGTCATGGTTCCACCCTATGGAATTTTGGGAATTGTTGTTTGTTATGGCACCAGAGATCTCTGACAGAGAAGACTAAATATCTCACAAAACTAAAATCCCCAGAATTCCATAGCATTGAGTCATGACAGTTAAAGTAGTATTAAACTGGATTATTTCCTCAATGCAGATGCAGCCAAGGGTTCAGTTCAAGACTACTGAGAGAAATGCTCTTAGAAATAGGGTGTTTTCGAGGGAAAGGTTCTTATTTCAGGTAGATTGGCTGCTGAAAATCCTTACAGCTGAGCAGTAACTTGGGCTGATATGATACTGTTCAACAGTGTAAGCCCCAGTCCTGGGACTGCAAGATTGTTGTAAACAATGACTACTCTGATTACAGCACTACACTGTTATAGTGCTGCTATTCCACTTTTATTGCTCTTGCTGCCTCCTGTTGCATTCTGGGGTTGTAGTCCAGAGAGCCTAAGATCTCTCTGGCTGAGGATTCTAAATGTCCCTCACTCAACTGCAAATCCCAGAATGCAACAGGAGGCAGATAGAGCAGTTAAAGTGGAATAGCAGCACTATAAGAGTATAGTGTAGTAATCTAAGCCTTGCCATCCATTCCTGTACACCTTGCCTTGTGTTATAAATGATTTGCTGATTTCTAATTCTGGTATGTGTTTGACTTAGCTCTTGGACCACCTCTGTATGATTTCTTCTTGAACTTGACTGGCATCTAGCCCCTGGACTTGAACCTAGCTCTGGATCCTCCTCATCTGATTTGTCTGCTTTGATGGCAGGATTCTTATTTGTTTGGCGTTTGCTTGGCCTTCTGCTACTTCTTCTTCTTCTGGATTTCCCATACCTTATTGGTCTGCTTGCTCTATGTAATCTTGACAGTATTTCAGTATTTCAGATTGCTAAAACTCTGTCCCTTAGGACCTTATTACACGGGGCTCAATGCAGACAGAATCCAAATGAAATCCCGACCTAATA